AGAATGGGTCTCTCAGTGTTAGCAGGCTCTGATCGCATTCCCATCAAGGAGACTCTGTGAACCCAGAGGACCCTTATGAGGAAGGAATCCAGAATCCCACACCACAGGACTGACCTCCTGGCTGTCCCACTCTATGGGCTCTGTGGGAGTTCTAAGGAAAAAAAAAAGACAAGCAAAGGAGGCATGAGCATTCAGGACAAGCTGGACACATTTTCATTCATTTTGAGGCCATCTGGAGGTAGACCTCGTCTAGGGGTTGCATCGCAGAAGGCAGTTCAATCACGCCTTCATTTCCTTTGTCTGGGCCAGACAGCAAGCTAGAGATTGGCATTGACTATGACTAGGGCATGATAACTTGAGAAACTCAAGGCAAGTGGATGACTTAAAGAACTAAATAAACATGTGTGGTCGGGTGTGACAGGAGCTCCCATAAAAGTGTGCGTATGAAGGGTACGGGTGTGAAGGAAGCCTCTGAATCATGCTTCGGGCACTGGGAAAGCCTTCCTGGAGGAGGTGACACTTGCCCTGCATTGTGAAGGCTGGCGTGTGCAGGCACGATGTGTTCATAATGCTTGGGGGAGCTGCAGGTGGTTCCACCTGCCTTGGAGTGCAAGGTGGAGTGGGTGGTGGTAGGAGATGGGGCCAGAGCAGCATCACAAAGGAGCGGGGAGCCTCTGCAACCGAGGGGTGGCTGCTGGAGGACCCCAGGCAGGGGAGAGGCCCAAAGCGAAGTGGTGCAGTGCTGCACTGGAAGGGTCAGACCAACAAGGAAGGGGCCACAGGATCGAGGTGAGGAGCCACGATAAGCTGAACTAAGGTGGTGCCAAAGAGAAAGGAGGAAAGGGAAGACCGGGGGGAGATAAGCAGCCAGCGGACACTGAGAGTCAGGGAACAGAGGGTTCTGGGTGGTTCTCCAGGTCCTTCTCTGGCTGGCTGGTTGCTGGCGGAGCTATTCATTGACAGAACCCCAGAGGAGAAGCGGACCTGGGCATGATCTTTGGATGACGCGACGGAAGTTTCATCGTAAGTAGGAGACGTAAGGGGATTAGATCCCCACAGAATCTGCAAGTGTCAAAGTCACCGGCAGCAGTAAGAAGGTCAAGGAAGGGTCAGGCAAAACTAGGGTGTGGGTAATGGGGCCTCTGACCATGCACCCACTTTTCTGAGGTGACGCGCTGGCCCTGCTTTGGAGGACACCGCTTGGCAGAAGAGGCTTCCCTGAAGTTCCAGGGTGGAGTCTGGAGTGTCAAAGGCTTCAGTCCCCTGACTTCCTGTTTCCAGATTTGATGATAACTCTGATGACATTCTATGCCTGCTTTTTTGGAAAGCGTCTTACGAAACCTGTTAATCTCTGAAAACCTCTCCGAGCTCCTCTTTCCCCCTGTTTTCTCAAACTTCATGGTAATGTGTAATTCCATTCTATTCCACCAACAAGTATTGAGAGCATGTGCTGTATAGATTATCTCATCAAACGTTCCTTAAGGACCTAGAAATGCATGGGAGTGTGGGAAATAAGGGAAAAACAGGATATTGGTGAGGATGCACTATTACGCATATAAGATTTGTAAGAGCAACATTTCCACAAATTCCGATAGCCAGTATTTTTTTAAGAGAGACTAATCCAGAATCTCGATCTGATTCATTCATTAGCAACTTAGCCTTCCTGTGCACGCAACAAATTCCATGCCTCGCATACCTGCGCCCTGCTTATCAGTTGGGATGCCTTGACTTCAAGTCCCCACTTTTATTGTCGGGAGTAGCTGTTAGCCTCTAGAGGGCAGACTTTGCTACTATTCTGCTGAAGGCCAGGAGACTTTGAGTTCAATACCAGAGGGTCCCTCAAGCTCCCTGGGACATCAGCTGAGATAGAACAAGGAATCAGGGCCCCCTTTCAGGAAGCAATCTCTAAAATGGATTTCACATTCCCCTTCGAGGTGTACCTATTGATAGAACGTATCTATTGATCAATAGATGGATGTAATACATAGAAGCTGCTCAGTACTTGTTTTTTCAATGGGTGAACACAGAGGGTTTCTATGTAATAACTACCCAACATTTATATAGCTGTCCACCCCTGGTGGGAACCAGCCAAGAGACAGAATTCTTGTGTGGCCACCAGAATATTTTTTAAAATATTTTATTTATTTATTCATGAGAGACACACACACATAGAGAGAGGCAGAGACACAGGCAGAGGGAGACGCAGGCTCCATGCAGGGAGCCTGACGTGGGACTTGATCCTGGGTCTCCAGGATCATGCCCTGGGCCAAAGGCAGGCTCCAAACTGCTGAGCCACCCAGGGATCCCCAGCCACCAGAATATTATTACCAAAACCAATATGCAGGTATTTTTGAATCTTTATAAATCAGAAACTGAAGGATAAAGAGGTTAGTAGAAGATATCCGCACCTCACATTTAATCTGACTCACTGTACCACAAAATGCAACCCCAAATATCACTAGAACGGCAGGTTAGACACTTAGGATTTGTCACCAAACTGAAGCATCCGTTACCCCACAGGAGCACATGGTGGGGAGAGGAGGTGTGCTGCATGGAGGGGAACTCACAGAACTGTACTGTTGCTTGCTTTGATGCTAAGTAGTTGTGGGGGTCTGAGTTACAGGCTCTAACTCTCTGGGCCTCAGTTTCCATATCTGTCAGGCGAAGTTAAGAATATATTGTAAAGGAGTACCTGGCAGGCTCAGTCAATAGAGTGTCTGACTCTTAATCTTGGGGTTGTTGTGAATTCAAGTCCCACCTTGGGTGTAGAGATTACTTTAAAAAAATTAATAAATTAATTTCTTTGTTTCTTTCTTTCTTTTAAAAGAACACCCTGGGAAGAATTTGGAGAGAGGTCCATGATGATCGAGGAATAAGAAGCAGTGAGAGGTCTTGGAAGGCCTTCCAAGAGAATGGAAATTGTGCTCCTTGGAGAATGATAGGGAACACTGCTGGAATTTTGAGAACAGGCAATGTTAAATTAGCATGGAGATTCTTTGTGGGTATGAGCTTTCTCTTCAAACATTCCATTATAATCCAAGACCCCATAATTTTTGCCAAAAAGTGGGTGCCTCCAAACAGTGTTCCGCCTCCCGGGAACCAGTGGCTTTGGCCCCATCAGGGGTGCTCAGACTTGGCTACCTGCTGAGATCACCTTGTGGAGCTTTAAACCTGTACACGCCAGGGGGCCACTCTTTAAGAACCTGATTTGGGTTGCAGCTGAGGCACAGGCAATGTTGAGTTCTCCATGTGATTCTAATGTTCAAGCCAAGTTGAGAACCACTGCCTAGAGCTTTAAATTCCTTTTGTGTCTGAAAATTTAAAAAGAAAAGAAAAGGAAAGCAGTGGCACCCAGGGGCTCTCATACTTTAATGTGCAAACAAACAAATCACCTGCAGATCTTCTAAAATGTAGCCTCTATTTCAGGAGGTCTGGGGTGGGCTGGGCGTCTGCCCTTGTAACAAGCTCCCAGGGGGATGCCCACACTGCTGTCCCCAGCCTGCATTTGTGCCGTGAGTCTGTAGCTTGAATGAATACAGACTTGCTTGGGAAACTATGGCTCTGCAAGCCAGCTGGGATCTTAAGAAGTCACTTCACTTTTTGAACCTCAGCCTTGGGATCCCTGGGTGGCGCAGCGGTTTGGCGCCTGCCTTTGGCCCAGGGTGCGATCCTGGGGACCCGGGATCGAATCCCACGTCGGGCTCCCGGTGCATGGAGCCTGCTTCTCCCTCTGCCTGTCTCTGCCTCTCTCTCTCTCTCTCTCTCTCTCTATCATAAATAAATAAAAAAAAATAAAAAAATTGAACCTCAGCCTTCCGATCTTAAATGCAGGCATGCAGTGGTAACTACATCATAGAGTTCTTGTGATGCTTTAATAGCATAATGTGGTAAACATGCGTGGCATGATACAACACGCGTTAGCCTTTGGATTGTTAGGATAGCCAACACTCAGGGGAACGCTTAACGGTCTGCCAGGAATTCTCAAAGTACTCTCATGTCTTGTATCGTTCAAGCCTCAAAACAACAGTCTGAGGTGGGTACCGTGATTTCATCACCCCTCTTTTACGGATGAAGAAACTGAGGCACAGAGAGGTGGAGTATCTTAATTTACATCACGCACGTAGGAGTTGCTAGGCTGGTTGTTGGAACCCAGGGAGAATCCAGGCTCTTCTCCCTCCGGGGGCTGAAATGGACACTGCGAACAGGCACTTCTGCCCTGCAGGCCTGACTTTCTGGAGGCGATGATTTGAGGAGTCGCCTCTGTAATGGGCTCGGTCAACAGGTGGCAGCCCAGGGCTGTTTGCAGACCTCGTCCAGAGCCGGCGCCCGGCTGGGTACTTCATCCCTGAACGCCCCTAGCTCTCAAGAGTCGGGTCTGCCCGCCCCGCAGGTGCTGGCCTAGCAGGCGGTCCGGGGCCGTCCGGGGCCGCCCGGCAAGGAGACGCCTACGTCCCGGGTTCGAATCCGAGCTCCCTAAGACGAGACCAGGTTCGCGGGCACAGCAACGAGGAAAACGACTTTCCTGCGACTCCCGTTTGCCCCGGGGAGCGCGACGGCCGAGGAATCCCACGCGTCTCTTCGTACCGAAAGTCCGGCAAGGATCCAATTGGTAAAGAGCCGGGGATCCCGCCTGGATTCCCCGAGAGCACTTAGGAGGCGCGGGGCGGCGGGGCCGGCGCTGGGGGATGGGGCCCGCGGCAGGAGCCCGTCTCGGGGCGGTTCCCTCCCGGGGCTCGGGGATTTTTTTCCGTGTGTGTGTGTGTGTGTTGGGGGGTCCCCGGGCAGAGGCCAGGGAATTTGAGGGGCAGGCGGGGGTGGGGGTTAACCCGGCCGTTCCCATGGCACCCGGGGCGTGGGGGAGGAATGCACCCCGCAAGCTGTGGCGAAACAGCTGCGCAGCCGGCCCAGCCCGGCTCGGGGAGGCGGGAGGGCAGGGGGGCAGGAGGGTGGGGGCGGCCGCGCTGGACGGGGGCGGGGCGGTCACGTGCGCCCCGGGGCGGGGCCCCAAAGCCACCCGGGAGCAGCACCGAGTCCCACCTAGAGGCTCCGTGCCAGGCGCGAACTTTTCTCCGGGACCCAGGGACTGAACTTGGCCTGCACCCGCCCCCCACACACACCCCCGAGGACTCAAGGCCACCGGGAGCCGGGAGCCGGGAGCCGGCTGGGGTGTCCGGGGCCGGCCTGGGGGCCAGCGGTCGGGGCCGAAGACACCAAGGAAAAGTGGGAGCTGAAGCGGGGGGGTGGGGGGCGGTGGGTGCAGGCTTGACGCAGGCTCGGGGCTCGGTGTACTGCGGGGTGGGCCGGGCCGGCGCTGTCAGCCCCAAGGGCGCAGCCGAGGCGCCGTCCCGAGGCCTCCCGGCACCTGTCTCGGGCTCCAGGGGAGGCTGCGGTCATGGTGAATGAAGACCCCAACCTACAGGAGTACGACGATGGCCCCTCGGCGCCCGAGCCTGCACTCCCCGCGGGCCGCAGCGCCTCGGCCCACCCCAGCGTCTCCATCCACCCCGGCGTCTCGGCCCACCCAAGCAGTTCGGCGCACCCCAGCACCTTGGCCCACCCCAGCAGCTCGCACCCCGAGGAGCTTAGCGTGATCAAGGTGAGCAAGCGCCGCTGGGTGGTGGTCCTGCTCTTCAGCTGCTACTCCATGTGCAACGCCTTCCAGTGGATACAGTACGGCTCCATCAACAACATCTTCATGAACTTCTACGGGGTCAGCGCCTTTGCCATCGACTGGCTGTCCATGTGTTACATGCTGACCTACATCCCTCTGCTCCTGCCGGTGGCCTGGCTGCTGGAGAAATTCGGCCTGCGCACCATCGCCCTCACCGGCTCTGCTCTCAACTGCCTGGGGGCCTGGGTGAAGTTGGGTAGCCTGAAGCCACATCTCTTCCCAGTCACCGTCCTAGGCCAGATCATCTGCTCTGTGGCCCAGGTGTTCATCCTGGGCATGCCCTCCCGCATTGCTTCCGTCTGGTTCGGGGCTAATGAGGTGTCAACAGCCTGCTCCATGGCTGTCTTTGGCAATCAGGTGGGTCGAGGAGTTGGCGGGTGTTCAGAGGAATGGGCATCATATCATTGGGAGGCTCAATGTGTTAGATTGGACCTGAGGGCACCTGCTTGTGTGAGCCTGGCCTTTCCTGACTTCAGCAGTGTTTGTGACTCCGGGTGACTTCGTGGCTGGGTATGGGTGGGGGATTGTGACTAGATGACTGTGTAAGAGATGAGCAGGGGAGCTGAAAGAGGAGGCCTTGTCTTTCACCAACAATTTCTCCTCCCCCTGCAGAAAGCATGCTTCTGGAACGTCCGCGGGCTCATGATCTCCTTCCTGGCCCTGTCAGTCCACGTGCTTAGACCTGTGGTTTCAGGAAAGCTGTTCTTTCTCAGGGAGCAGCCCCTGGGGACCAGATTATTCTGGTATCGTCAGAATTCGACAGATGTTTAACCTGACCCACCAGCTTTCCTAGAGTGCAGCATCTCCTGTACTATACATAGAATCACGGAGTGCTGGCCCGGTGGTGTTTGGCTCTGTGTTTACCTTCTTTAATACACAGCTGAAGCCAGGACAGAGGGAACAGTACTTTGGGCCACGCTGCTTCCCTGGGGGTTAGATAGCAGGATGGAGTAGAAATCTTGCTCTGAATTTCCTAGGCCTAGAAAAGTTTTTTGGAAAGGCACAGGAAGTTCATATTTCAATCACTTTTCTTTCCTTCTTTTTGGAAGGATGATCTCAAATTCTTTGCATCTCAGTGAGGTTATGACCCAAAACGCTGGGCATGTTATGACTCTGCCTTCTCCAAATATTTGAAGCAGGTATTTATGGGGTCCTTCTCTATCTAGATCACTGCCTCCAGGTCTCATTTCTTCCCCCAAGCACTTGCAATTGTTGCTGTTATTTTAATTTAATGTATTTTATTTTATTTTACAAATGACCAGTAACCCTCTGTTCTTATAAGATATTTCCCTTGTAGGAGGGTAAGACTGCGAGGTGAAAGGTAAGTCTTTTCAAACTTCCCAATGGTTAAATCTCCCTATTAGGAGCAGAACAGACTAAGTCACTGCAATCTCAAACCCTTTGTTTGAGGAGAGCAGGATTGCTAACTAGGAGAAGCCCTCAGGTGGCCAAATCCAAAATTTTTTTGTAAACCATAATGCATAAACTAATAGGTTTTCAGACCCCTCATATACCTGTGAGGGAACTTAACACCAGATAAATCTTTAAAATTTAATAAAACTATTTATTAATTCCCTCTTCCCAGTCCCCACCAAGATCAGGAAATGCTAAGAATTTTACATTTAAAAACACTCTGACAGCATATATTTGTATCACGGAGCCATCTATTCAATTTGATCTTTTAGGCTTAGCCCTAAAAAAAAAAAAAAAAAAAAAAAGATGAAAAACTGAATTGTTTCTGCTTCCTCACGTTGAGAGATGACTATCTTATGTTTGGTTCTTGGCATGTGTTTTATTTAGCCTTTCTTCCTGAATAAAGCATGGCTGAATGAGGAGAAATAGTATTAGTATTATACTAATAATAATAGTATTATTACCTTGAGCTTTGCTGCTTAGAAAAAAAAGCCTCCACAGAGTTGTCTAAAGAGACTTCAAATGCTATTCCACAGAATAATTCTTCTTGGCCTACAAACCCCACATGGATCAGCAAAACTCTGTACCTGGTAATTCTGACCTCTCTTTTCTAGTGCCTCTTGGGTACTCCACACATGCCCCAGCCTTGCTTGCATTAAATTCGTCATTCATTCATTCATTCATTCATTCAAGAAGCATTCATCTAGTGCCTCCCCTTTTGCCAGGCACTATGCTAGGGCTGCAAAGATAATCTCTGCTTTCTCAGAGTTCCTGTACTAGATTTTAAAATTCTATAAGGCACTAACATTCTGATAAACAAACAAACAAAAGCCTAGATCGACATATAAAGGATTTATTTTCAGTACTCCATGAGATTTTTAATATCTTCTTTGCCTAATTGCTTAGGGAAAATTGAAGGGGAAGGAAGCTAATATCTATCAAACACTTATCATGTGCAAGGCATTTTCTCATCTATTATTTAATTTTTCAACTCTATGAGGCAGGTGGAAATGTCCCCGTTGTTATGGATAAGGAAATGAGACGCAGATAAATGGAGCAAACTTACCTAGGGTCATACAGCTGCGAAATCATAGAAGGGAGATTTGAATGCAACTCCACCTCCAGAAGCCCATGTCAATAGGCCAATACCGAGTTATCATGTGGATAAAGCATGTATTTTTTAATTTTTTAAATTAATATTTAAAAATTTAAATTATTTTTTTATTTCCTTAAGTAATTAATTGTTCTTTTAAAGTAGGCTCCACACCCAGCATGGAGCTCAGAACAAGGCTTGAACTCGTGACCCTGAGGTCAAGACTTGAGCTGAGATCAAGAGTCACACACTTAACCAACTGAGCCACCCAGGCACCCCCTTTAAAGCATTTTTTTTTAAAGGGGGAGGGCAGGATTGAGGTTGGAATTTTGTCCCTTGTGTCTGGTTGTTGGTGGCGATGAAGTATCCACCAGTTTTCTCCAGAATCTGAGAGCCTCTGCCCCTGCCTTCTGTTTTTAAGCGCCTGGCATTAGCATTGCCTCCCCACTCACTGGGTTATAAACTGCTGAGGGCAGATTCTCCCTCTTTGAGCCTAGCAAGAGGCACAGGATGGTGGACTCCAGTCTTTGGGTAGAAGATACCAGTGAGTCCTCAGCTGGGGTGAGAGAGGGAAGGAGTCTTTGAATGGTAGCAGAGCCTCGTCCCTTTGGCTCTGGCCAGTTGCACAGGTGGTGACAGCCTGGCATGTAGCAACAGTTGTTCCACTGCTGTCAGGGAAATGATTCATGTGGGGTTTTGAGTGATATAGATGATGCTATAGTGGAAGGGTTGGAAGAAAGCCCTGTCTGTCCTAGAGTCTGGTGATAGCTTGGTGGCCCTGGAAGGGAGAGATGTGGGAGTTGGGAGAGACCAAGTCAGCTTCAGCCCCAGTGAGGAGCCTGGAGCACCGAGATGGGAAGGGATTTTCTCAAGGACCCTTGGACAACTGATGGCATGGTGCCAACCAGAAAGAGTAGTAGGAGACTGTTGGCTTTTCGAGTTAAGAAAATCCAGTAGTCTCCCCTTATCCCGGTTTCACTTTCCACGGTTTTAGTCACCTGTGATCCACCTGGAAACATGATCCTTCTTCTGACCTATAGGGACATCATCCATGGCCTAATACTATATCTCAATGCCACGTCATTCCTGTCACTTCATATCATCACATCGGCATGTTATCATCGCATATCGTTGTAAGAAGGGTGAGCACAGTACAATAAGATATTTTGAGAGAGAGAGAGAGAGAGAGGTGACATTCACGTAACTAACTTTTATTGCAGGATATTGTTACCAGTTGTTATATTTTATTACTAGTTATTGCTCATCTCTTACTGCGCCTAATTTACAAAGTGAACTTTATCATAGTTAGCTATTTAGGGGGCAAGATGGGGGAGCTTTCCTTGACCCTCTTAGGGGCCCTAGTCGGGTCTAAAAATGAAACAGATGACAGATTATCAGGAGAAAGTCATCCATATTTATTTAATGTAAGTATTACATGATATGGGAGCCTTCCAAAGAAAATAAAGAAACAGTTAGCCCTAGGTACTTTTATGCTAGATTTGAAAATGCAGCATCGTGGAGGAATATGACACGTTAGGACTTTGAAGTTAGTGTAGTGAACTGGAAAACTAACGAGGCCTGTTTGTTTTGATTGTACCTGGTACCCTTTTGTCTTCAGAGGTAAGGGTGCTGCTTTGCTCCGGGTATGGGAGGGGCCCCTCTTATAGGAGGGATTTAAGGCGCCTGATTTAGGGAAGTAGGGGGAGGAGCAGGAGGAGGAGGGGGAGGAAGTGGTAGGAGAGGACCAGGAGGAGGAGGAGGAGGAGGAACTCAGAACGACTCTCCTGCTCTGCTGGCTCTGCTGTTTTCTGAAACTCCCTCAGCTTAGAATATTCCAGCTGCCATCATTTGGAGGAGCATGTCCAGAACCACATCATATTTCTAGCAGATCAAGATGAGCTCTAGGAAACTGAGTCCAGCCTCGAGGAGGTGGCATCTGCTGGACCGACTGGTTGTGTGGTAGTACCAGAGAGGCTGGGTATCTGAGATTGACTCAGGGGTCAGGGTCATTAGGTGGGTGGTCAGCCTACTCTTGTTCCCACATCATGGTCATTTGCCATGGTCATGTGTTAAAGCTTATCATTTGGAATTTTCTAATGTCAGAGGCCTTTCAAGGTCTGACTGAAGTGGGGGGAGGCAAAGGCAAAGTCTTGTTCTCTTCTAGTGATCATTCTTGTTACTAAAAGCACACGGGGTGCCTGCCCACATGGCTGACCACTTCCTGGCCTCCCCTTATGCACTAGAAGACAGGAATAGGCCAGCACTGGGAGGGCAGAAGGAGGCTAGTGGTGACTTACATTCAATGGTGTGAGGCTGTGACCATACCTTCAAATGCTCCTGGGAGCCAGCCAGGTCTTATAAATGTGACAGTCAAAATGACATCAGGGTGTGATGGGGTCATGGTAAACGTGAGAGTCCATTTCCCATCTAAAGACAGCAGATGCGTCAGCTCCTGCCAACTGTTAGCATACAAAGCATGACCTGGTATTGCCAGATTCCTCATTTTTTCTTTAAAGAGAAACCAGAGATCCAGATTTTTAGGTGAAGTCTGGTTGTTGTTGTTGTTATAATTATTATTATTCTGGTAAAAGAGACATAATATTTATCATTTCAACCATCCATAGTGTACAACTCAATGGCATTAACTACTTTTACAATGTTATGTAAGCTATCTATACCCGAAACTTTTTCATCACCCTCAACAACTGTGTACATCAAATAATAACTCCTCCTATCCTCCCTCCCTCCTATCAGATACTAATAAAATAACTCTTCCTATCCCCCTCCCTCCAGCCCCTAGTTACCTCTCTGTTTCTATGAATTTGCTGGTGCTAAGCACCTCATATAAGTG